AATGTAGTATAGGATTTAGGGAAGATAGTCCATTCACAAGAGTTGATGGAGTTCTCCAGTGAGCAGGATTCCCAAATGCGAGACATTGGTCCACACCGCAGTCCCTTGGTAAACCCCGTCACAATCCAACAGCCAGTGACTGTGGCCATCAAAGCCCAAATAACTCCCAGTGAAACGAGGCGACCAATGTTCTTCTCCACATACAGGAGGAAACACATGACACTGGCACGTGATGCTGTGCTGACTCTACCATAATGATAGAGCGCTACTGGGCACCAGGCGTTAGTGCACTCTGTAATGCCATCAAGGATAAGCACTCAATGACTGGTAGGAATCCATTCTCTAAATAAGTTTTGCCATGCACACACATTAGTTGGCATGACATGGGGTTATTCTTTTGAGCAATGTAATATAATAGATGCTTAGAACAAACAGTCCAATCAAATATGTCAATTAATGACTTAGTTTTGTGGAGCTGGAATATTACTGAGTCATTGAACAACTGTAAAAAAAGTCTTTGTTATAAATCAAGCTGAGGTCATGGGGCTTTAACATTATAGGCATCCATTTAGCACTGATAGTTAAGGCTTGAGCTATATCTTTACCAGTGTTGTCTAATCTAGCAAACAGATAAATTTTGTCTACAGAATGTCAAGGTTAAGAAAAGACAGGCCTTGTTTGCTGGGCAGGTGAACTTATCCTGAGTTTGAGTCCAAATTGTGTTTCTCCAGCTGTAGATTCCTCAGTAGCTTTCTTCATAGTTTTCTTTTAATTTTAACACATCCTTGAAGGTTGAGGCATGAATGACAATCCACATTACAGTCAGAATTCCAAGAATAGTCCATTCATGAGAGTAACAGTGACTGATGACACATATTTCCATGCTTCCTGTCCAGGAATCATTAATACGGTCTTATCCATTCCCTACACAGTGACACCAGTGGGTCCAGAAGGACCGCTAGATCTGGGTGAAGCTGCTTCACCCAGACTTCAGCTCCAACTGCATGTATTTCATTTGCAGATCCAAACCCTACATCACCTCTAACTGCTAGATAGGTTGGAAATTCTCCTTTTTCTACTTTGCCAATTACACATGGAAGAACCAGAAATTGGGCAATTAGATCATGTTTAATAATAAATAGATCATCCTTTCCTTTATTCTGTTGAATTACTCAAATTTCTCTGTGGTAGTCTGGGTCTATAACTCCACTATGGACACAGATCCCTTTGAAAACTGAACTGGAGCATTCTTTGATTAATCCAAAGTGTCCGGAGGCATTTTAATTCTGATACCAATTGAAACAGCAGACATCAATCTTTTAGTAGGTCTGTGTTCAGATACAGATACAAATCTAGTCCTGCGACCTCAGGAGTAGCCCAGAAAAGAGAGAGTGCCCCGGGCTAATTTCAAAATACTCAGTTGTCTCAGGATTGAAGTCTCTTTTATGAATCTGTCAGTTTGGAATAATCATTCTCATCAAATGAGTTTCTGATTCTCCTGTAGGTCTATTATAAAAAATGTTGAAGGCAGTATTCAAGTTAGTCCTCCAGTTTTTATAAGAGCCCTCTTCAAGTTTAATTAATTGTTTAAGCAAACCATTCATTCTTTCAATCAAACCAGCAGCCTGAGAATAATAATATGAAAGATCCATTGTGCATTATGTTAATGGGCACATGCTTGTATAAACTTACCTTTAAAATGTGACCCCTTGTCACCTTGAATATAAAGTAGAACACAATATAAATTAATTATTTCCAACCTTTTAATGGTATTAGTCTGATGGCCTTTCCCAAAATGAATTACCACTGAATATCCAGAATAGGAGTCCATAGCAGTACACACATATTGGCATCGTTTATTTTGAATTAATGGACCAATATAATCAACTTGTCATATCTGCGCAGGCAGCCTGCCATGTGCCAATTGTCCTTCGACTAATATGCCAAGCTTCTCTGCTTAATATGTTGACAAACTGGACATTGTAAAATAATAGATTCAATGAGATCCATAGGTAAGGAAATACCTTGATCCTGAGCCCACCTGTATGTTGCTTTTGTTCCCAGCTGGCCACATTTTTGGTGTGCCCACAAGTCAAACCTTTTAAGTCACTGGAGTGTGGATCAACTTCTACTGCTTGGATATGGGTTTGTTCATGTGTAATAGAGATAGGGCATCGTTCATAGAATTTGGAAGACTGAGAGAATCTACTGAAAGATTAGTAGCTCAAACAATTCCCAAATGTCAGACCATAATTCCTTTCCACATCGTTCTCTGGAGTGAATTTGCCAGTTATTCTTTACCCAAAGGGGAAGCCAAGTGGCCAATCCATTGGCTACCAACCAAGAATCTGTATATGTGGCATTCAGTTAAACTCTCTTGCTTAATATCTGGTGAATAGAATATAATTCGGCAAATTGGTTACTTTTACCTTCCCCAGTACTTGGCAGCTATTTAGTAGTGACAGAATTATTTGCAACCACTTTTCAATAGCAAGTGCATCCTATATATTTACTGATCCATCAGTAAATCATGCATGCTGTTTTTCTTGTACAGTTAAAAGAGTCAAATGACTTTCCCCATTTTACAGGTGATTCAGATAAATAGCTCATGCTTAGTTATATCCTCTTGCTCCAGGCCTTCCATAGAAATCCTTTCATGTAAGACAGCGACCCCATGTGGTTCAGGTTTGGCTTGGTCCTAAATACAACATTTTCACTTGATTATGCTGGACTCCTGGGCTTGCTGAATGCTGTAGGTTTGGGGCAAACTTTGTACCCATTGCATGATTGTCGCTTGAGGTCTTAATATTATAGTATAATTTATAGTCAAATGTTACATATCAATCAGAGCCCAGTAACAAGCCAATACTTGTTTTTCAAAGGTAGTGTCATTTCTCTCTGCCTCTCAGAATTTCCTACTCCAGAAGCCCAAAGGAACTTTCTCCACCTTGTGTTTTTGCCACAAGATCCGTTAGCATACTTACACTACAGCACTGGGTTGTACTGGCCAGAAGCCTAAAGCATGTTGAAATGGACTTTTAGTGGCATCAAAAGTCTATTATCATTAATCACACCACTGAAATTCGTTATCTATTCCTAGCTACTTTGTAAAGCAGATTCAGTATCTGACCCAAATGTGGAATACGCTGTAGCCAGAGACCAAAGAGCCCTATAAATTTCTGAACCACCTTTTTTGTCTGGGGAGTTTTAAATTCCATTGTCTATTGTCTATCTGTAGGTAAAATCTCTCTATGTCCTTTAACCCATTGTATCCCCTAAACTTTACAGTCAGACTCCCTCAAAGCTGTTACACCTCTGTGTCCTTATGTGTTTTGCTCATTTTTGGAAAGGATTGAAGAGGCCATTCTTTCCATTCCCCTGCCTCCAGAAGTGTTTTCCCACACTGAGTTATTCCTATCTTGCAAATTACCCAGGAAAGATTAGGCGGCATGCTAGGACAGAAAGCTCAGCTTTCTGTGTTTCTCAGAAGCAAGGAGCAGGGACCCTTGGAGAGGATTTGCCAGGACTCGCCCTGGTATTCTGCGATCACTGAGGAGCCCCTGTGTCTGTGGGGGCCTCCTCTTTGAGAGTAAGAAGCCCTGAGAGGTCACATTCACGTGGATCCTCCACAGATGGCGATGCAGTGGGAGGACTGAAGTGAAGTCACCATCAACTGCATGTTAACTGCAGGCACCATAAGCCAGGTGGAGAATCAGGCAGCTGGAGCAGGGGATCGGGCAAAGGACTTCAACGTCCTGACCTCTAGGAATCTCCCTCAAGGACACCTAGGATCCCATCCTTAGAGAACAGGACCCTCAGCCTAGCTCAGACCTTGGCCATTAGGACTGGGCCGTCATCAAGTGCTGCATTTTGAGTTCTTCAAAGAGGTCTGTGGACCGTACTATTCCCTTCTCCAGGTTACAGCCCCTCTCACCCCGGGGAGGTGATGTTGCAGGACACCATAATCCACTCGCATCCACATTGGAACCCACAGCCACAAGCAGTGGGGGGAGGGGTGCCACCCATCCTGAGGTGCCAAGGCAGCTGAGCACTATTCCGACTTACTTTTCAGGGCCAAAGACGAGGCTGCAAGCGCTTACTGCCCCCTCCCTTCTGGTAACTCACCCCCTTGCTGAGTTCTGCTCCCCTCCCCAGCCTCTGACCAGGCAGTAAGAGTCCTTAGTTGTGCCAGCCAGGTGGTATTGTTTGCACTGATCCCCAGTTTGGGGTGAAAAACGTGATTTTTAGCAGGGAGCTTGAGTTTAATATGATCTTTCTCACCCCTCTCCTTTGCTTTACAATGAAGAGCTCTGGAACCCTCTCTGGGAACCTCATTTTTGCACAGTCGGATCCCCAAGTGACACTGTTGTAGGGACCTGTGCAAGGGTCTCCTGGGGGTGTGTCCTGGGCACCTGACCAGAGAGGAGGGAGCGACTGGGCCCTCCCCAAGATCATTGACTGAAGGGCACGTCCAGAGCTGGAGGAATTAACGTGGCACCACGGAAAACGAGGGGGAAAGAGCTGGCTTTGACTCCTACAGGAGGAGGGGCGGGGGAGCCAGTCCCGCTGACTCCTGATTGGTTTTACATTTCATCCAGAATTTTTTTCTCTCCTCTCTTGCTCTCTCTTTTCAGTTTCTCTCTCTGATCCCAGGGGAGGGGAAACGGGAATAGTGAGAGATCAAAAATAAACCTCTTATGTCAAAGCCGGGAAGGAAGTATAAATACGAAGAGCTCGGCAGCCCACTCGGTGCTTCCCGGGGTGTGGAGGAGGCGGGCGTGAAGGGCGCGCACGCGGCCAGGGCGCCAGCTGCTGCAGCTCCACTGGCCGGGCGGGCGCGAGCCGGAGAGGCTGCCTGGGGACCGCCGCCGCTAGACGCCCACCGGACACACGCCCGGCCAGCCGCCGAGCGCCTACCCGCGAGGACAGCGGCCGGGCCGCCCGCACCTGCCCGCGCCGGGCCCCCTTCCTGCGCCTCCCGCGCCGCCGCCGCAGCCCCCATGCCCCGCGCCGCCCCCCGGTGGCCGCCGCTTCTGCTGCTGCTGCTGCTGCCGCCGCTCACCCGCGGCGCCCCGGCCCGGCCCGGAGGCAGGGGGCCGGCCTCCGCTCTCGTGGTGCCCAAGCGGTTGCAGAGCATCGCCGGGGAGGTCGCGCTCCACCTGTCCGCCTTCGGCCGCGACTTGGAGCTGCGCCTCGAGCCCGATGACAGCTTCCTGGCGCCGGAGTTCAAGATCGCGCGCCTCGGGGGCTCCGGCGGGGCGGCCGGGCGCGAGAGGGAGCTGCGCGGCTGCATCTTCTCGGGCACGGTGAACCGGGACCCCGAGTCGCTGGCTGCCGTCAGCCTCTGCCGCGGGCTGAGCGGCACCTTCCTGCTGGAAGGCCAGGAGTTCACCATCAAGCCCCAAGGCGCTGGGCGCTCCCTGCATCAGCCACACCTCCTGCAGCGCTGGGGGCACGCGCCCCCAGCCACGGCAGCCCAGCCCCTGTCCAGAGCGTCTGAGAGGGAGGCGCAGACGGGAGAGGGTGAGAGGCAAGAGAGGAGAGCCGGCACAGCGGAGGAGGAGGAAACGGAGAAACAGGAGGAAGACGAAGAGGGCCAAGAAGAGGAGGCAGAAAGTTCCAGCGAGCCACCACCAACCCTGGGGGCCAAGAGCAGGACCAAACGGTTTGTGTCGGAGGACCGCTTTGTGGAAATGCTGCTGGTGGCCGATGCATCCATGGCTGCTTTCTACGGAGAGGATCTAGAGGTAAGACTTGCTGTGCAGGGGTATGCTGATCACCTCCCAGAGTCTCCAAATTGTTCCCTTTCCTGTCCCTCTGAGAAAATCCTTCCGCTCCTCACCCCCAAACAGGCTCCTCTCCTTTCTGAGGACGGGAAGTAACTCTTTTCATGACCTCTGACACCCAGGAGACCACCTGCTCCTGCCACTACCTCCCTTCTGATTGGAGGGGAGGCCCTGGGCCCCCTTCTCCATGTCCACCCCCATCCCACACATGCTGAACTGAAAGTGGGTTTTAAAGCACCCCTACCTCAGACACCTGCCTCTCCCAGCAGAGATGATAAGTGAGCATTTGGGAAGAGCATCTACCCCAGGCCCCATTTCTCAGCCCCCTACTGTCTCCAGACCTGAGGGGCTCCCAAGGAAAGGCCACTTGGATGCAAAGGTGTCCTTTGCCTGCAGAACTGAGGCTGCCTTAAGTAAAAGACATTGTTTGCAGGGAGTTGAGGCTGGAAAGGGGCTGCCCAACTTCTGTGCGCCCAGCTGGTTCTGATCAGGGGCACAGATACCTTGCCAACCTGGCGCTCAGCCCTGGCAGAACTTGGCAGCACCGGCGTCAGCACGAGAAGGGAGGGGAACAGAATTTCTGCCTGGGGACTCAGCCCAGGAACCTGAAGCTTCGGGGAGAGGGAAGGAGAAGACGATGGGGATCTGACCTCCTGTGGTGAGTGTTCCTGGTGGAGCCAGAACTATTCTCGGCCCACCTGAGCTGCCCTCCGCCCAGACACAGCTCTCGACTGAGCTAGGGCAGGGCACTGAGTCCAGGGGACAGCTCCTGCAGCCAGGCCGATTCCAACTAGATTCCTGATGCTGCAGACTCAGCAGGAGGTGTGTGTGTCACCCTACACCCCAGCACCTCCTCCACGGACCAGGTGAAGCAGAAGGCTCCAGGCGAGGCCGCGCGTTCTCTTATCCTGGGAGCGCAGAACCAGAGATGTGCCCCATGGAGGACTGACCTCCCCAGAAGGCACCGATTCCTGAAACGGGCACCCTGGCCGCAGCTGCGGCTCAGTTGCTGCCATTTTGGTGATGGCAGTCTTGGCTATCATCCTATTCTAGCCTCAGCCTGTGCCCAGCTGATGCCTGCCTCGAGGGCTTTGGCACCACCTGTGCACAACAGTCTACATGAGGCACGGTGGGCCCTTCTATTTCTTGCCCCAGCTTTCTCAGTCTGTCAGTCACTGGGAAATGCATTCTAGGTGCAAAGGTGGGAAGAACTGGGGGTGAAAGGCCCACGTGGCTGCTTCCCTGGGAGCTGCCAGGGTGGTTCAAACCGTCTGTGTGTTGGCAGTGTTGGCAGTGTTGGCAGTCTGTGTATTCGCTCCTCCCAGAGCTTGGGATGGCAGCTTTGACCCCGCAGCCCAGTTCTGCCCAAGGACTGTGGGTCTGCACTGACCAAGTATCTGCTTCCTGGCCTTCCAGGAGAGCAGGGGAAGGTGCCAGCCACCTCCTCTGACTCCTGCCCCAGCATGTCCTCCAGAGGGTGGCAGGTGGGGCTTCTCCCATCTCAGGTTGAGGACAGCCATACCTGGCTACCAGGGACCCTGGCAAAGTCCCTCCACCTCAAACCCAGAGTGCAGTGCTGAGCCCTCCCACACACAATTCCTTTCTGACAGCTGCCTGACAACCAGGAGTAGGAAAGCCCACAAGAATAGGGAGATGCAGTGGGAAAAGTCATTGCTTTTTGGCCTTCAGAGTCAAAATGTCCTCCCTGATGTTTCCCTACCATCTCAGCTCAACTCAGCACCCACACACTTATGATGCCATGTATTTGCCTCCAGCATGTACTTGGCAGCTCCAGAGGTCAGAGCCACCTGAAAGCAGACATGCAGGCTGCCAGGCACCAGGGTTCCCAGGCCGCTGAGGCAAAGGCAGGGCTGGGTTCTGCCTCCAGGTCTGCCGCACCAGGCAGCTGGCTTCCTCTTTGCACCCAGGGCCACCTGTACCCTCACAGGACTCTTGGCTGGATGACCCAGCATGTGCGTGTCCCATGTGGCACCCTCCACACACACAGGTTTCTGGACATTCACAGACGGGACTGCTGCAGCAGCCCAGTACCCCCCGGGTCAGAAGAACACCCCAGAAGAGCTGTCAGGCACCTTGAAAGCTGAGGTCCTTCCCTGGGTGGGTGGGGCTCCCTCTACCTTTGGAGCCAGCCCTGACACCTCTCCCTTCCTGTCTCTGCCTGCTTTCCGCTGTCACTGCCCCAGGTGGGGCTGAGGCCGAGGCACAGCTGTTTCTATGACTGATCCCTGGCCCCTCTGCTCTGACTGTTCGCCCGCTGTGGAGATGCCACAGGATAGACCTGAATTTCTCAGCTCAGTCCCCTGGACTGGCCCATGAGCTCAGCCAAGGCACAAGTGAATGTCAAGGCCAGGTTCCCTAGGACCTGGCTTGCCCAGACACACCTCCTCAAATATAACCTAGTTCTCTGCAAGTAACTCTTCAAGGAGTCCCCTGGAGACCTCGTTCACACAGATGGAGGTGCTTTGGGGTGTCCCAGCCACCAGGGTGTGTAATGAGGATAAAGAGATGCTTCCCCCTCCCCCGTGAAGAGACACACCTGGACTTGGTAATGGAGTCTAGTCTAAACATTGCTGAGGCTGCTTCCTAGTGAGCCTTCTGGAAAGTTCAGCACCTCGTGGGGAAGCCACACGCTGAGGACATTCAACCTGCAGAATGGTTTACAGGGCCCACACAGTGCAAACACCTGTGAGGGGGCAGAGGAAGAAAGCGAAGGTTACAGAGGATCTGTGACTTCCTCCAGGTCTCCTCACCCGACGGCTGTGCTGGTGCACTGGGCCCTGCCGCCTGCTCAGCACAGGAGGGTCTGTGACTCTGGCTCTGCCTCCCCTGACGTCGTCCATGCTGCGGGAATGGGTCACTGAGCCCAGGAGCCCAAACTGGTCCAGCCACCGTGGGAGGCCCAGTCCTGAGAAGAAACTGCCTTCAAGGCCAGAGAAAGAATTAACCGTGCACAAGACTGGCCTCACCGCGAAGTGACAAGGAAGTTTTCCAGACTCTGTACACTTGAGGAGCTCAGACAAAGGCGGCTTTCTGAGAGGGGGGACCACCTCAGAAGAGACCTTAACTCTGTCTGCACCCAGCTGCTGCTGACTGTTCCCGGATGAAACTGCATGAGGAAGGGGCGAGAGTGGGGAGCAGCACCCCACGCTCAGTCTGGAAAATTGTCTAGCCAGACCACCAGCTGCTGAGCTTCTCAAGGTGCTGCTGAGCAGGGAGGTCTCCAAAGAAGACCAGAGGCATCCCAGAGTCAAGCTACTAGCCAGTGGCTTCAGGGAGGGCTAAGTCACTTCGTTCCCGTTCCACTGCCCTCCGGGAAAATGTCTCCCACCAGCCCTATCACCAGAGTGGCCAAGTATCCTGGCTTGCCCAGCATGGCCCCTGGCTAGGATTTTCTTGACTTAATTATTAACACTTCATCTTCACTCTCAGAAGTGTCCTGTTTTGGATAATAACAGAACAGACACATGTCTGAGTCTCTGCGGACACGTTATATGCCCGAAAAGTATGAACCCCCACTGGAAAAGACCAAGTCTTCATTTCTTCAGTCTGTTGCCATCAGAATGATCGACCATATAAAGTACTTCCCAGTTTAAAAAGGCCCTAGTCTTCAACAGTCCTTGAGTCACCACATAACTCTCCTCCTGTCCCACTGGGAAGGCAGGTAGGACAGAGACAATGTCAAGGGCATGCTGTCTTGCTTGCATACTTTGTTTTCACTGTGCTGCAGTTGTCCTTGCAACAGCAGAGGTGGGTGGCAATCAGTGCCATGAAGAAGAGCATAGACTTTGACGGAAAATAGACATGCATGACTTGAGTAAGTTACCCCTTTTTCTGAACCTCAATTTCTTCACCAGCATGACAGGCACTGTTATACCAGGATCTGGCAGTGTCTGGAGGAGACAGTAACATACAAAAGGCATCTGACCCGGGGCCTGACACATAGCAGATGCTCAGCAAAGCACAGCTAACACCAGAGTTGCCTTGGATGGTGTTTTTGGGCCTGCCCTCTGTGGGACTGGAAGTAAGACCTGCCCCCTGGACCAGGAGATAGGCCCAGAAGTGGGGTTCACAGTCTCATGGCTGCCTGCCTGCCCAGGCCTGGCTCCCTGCCCCCAGGGTCAGTTAGATGCACAGGCACCCGAGCCACCAGTCCTCAGAGGAACTTCTCATCCCCAAAACCTCAGTGAGATGAGAGAAAAGGTAGGTGGGCCAGACCAGGACTGCGGACTTGAACAGACACTTTGGACCATACAGGCCTGGCAGCCCTCTTGCGATGGGAATTATCTCAGAAGAGAGCATCCAGGGGAACCTTCATTGTCCTCCCATAAAACCCACTGCCTAAAAGGAAAACTGCTCTCAAGCAGGCTCAGCCTGCCACTGGCATGATTGGAGAGGATGCTATGAACTCCCTGAACCCCAGGGAGGAGAATCCACGAGCCCCAGGCCGTACATCCCGTGTGCTCATGTACCTTCGGTTCACACCAGGGGTCGACAGTCTCTGCTAGTCTGACAGAGCAGCTTGGGAACCAGAGCCTTCTTAAACCTTAGATCACTGGTTCCTTATTCCAAGCCTTTAGGGACTGCTGTGGGGCAGCTGGCGTTTCTCACCTACATGCCTTCTTTATCAAACGTCATCTCCCTAGTTTTGAGATTGTGATGTTGGAACTTGAAGGGCATTCTCTTGTGAGGAGGGTTGCAGGTTGTTGCAGGTTGTTCCAGGAGTTGGCCGCTGGTCCTCGTCGGGGCCGGGGCGGGGAGGGGGGGGGGAGGGAACCCTGGAAGCAGCGGATAACTGGAGGGAGGAGCCTGACAGGCTGCCACTCCTCAGCCCTCACCCCCAGCTGCCTAATGAGGTGGTTACTTGTTTCCCTCGGGAATCTGACTCCAGGAGCGGGTGCCAAGTTTCAGCTTTGCTGATAAGATGTTTACATCAGCCTAAACGTAGCTGGAATGCCTGACACACTAAGTGACCTGCCGACCCGTTTATAGGGCTTACCAAATATCTGGCTGGTTGCCGGTGAGATGAACAGACAGATCCCATTCACAAATAATGGGATTCATCTGGAACTCCCACACATGGCCTCAGCCCCGGAATGTCCCTCTGTAACCTTTCACCTTCGGTTCCTTCCTTCCAGCCCCACCTTCCAGATCACAGGAGGGAAGAAAAAGAGGCTACAGGAGTGTGGAGCCCTGAGGGGCGGGGAGCAGGACTGGCCACACTCCTGGTGGAGGACCATCCCCTTGGTTTCCTGTTCTGTAAAATCATCCTAGACGACGCCCTTCTGGAGGTCCCGGAGGCAAGAGGGTGACCTGATCTGGCCTTCCCGGAGGTCTTGGGAGCTGTTGGCAGCTGGGCTGGGCAGAGGCCAAGCACCGACGTCCACTCTTCCTCTGACCTTGGTGGGACCAGAAGCAGTGTGAGCCTGAGAGCCTGGGTCTCACCAGCCCATCTGGTTCTCTACTGCCTCAAGCTGAGGCAGAAGCCAGGAGGCCAGGCCCTGGGAAGCTTAATGAGAAGAGTGTAGACCTCAGAGGCAAACATGCCTGTGCTACACTCCAGCTTTAAGAGCTGGGTGGCTGTAGACATAATATTTGACTTGTGAGAACCTCCACTTCCTTGTTGGAGAAATGGGGATAACCATCCCTACTGCCCAGATCATTGTGAGCATTTCCTGAGGTGACGCATGTCCAGTCTGCGGCTGATGCAGAGGAGCTCTTTTTAGGAGTGACCATTACAGCAAAGTCTCCTTCCTGAAGAGTAGGGGTTACCCCAGCAGACTGAGGACAATTCTTCATGGACTCTAACCTTGAGTGCTCAGACAAGTGCTTCTGGGCTGAGAGCATGAGGGGACGGGTGACTGGCAGGGAGATGGTGGGTGTCCAGGTTAAGGTAGATAACATGTGCAGTCCAGTTGAAGAACTTTCTGTGACAATGGAAATGTTCTGCAGCAGCCATGAGTCATATGTGGCTATTGGTGCTCTTGAAATGTGCCTGGTGTGGCAGAGGGACAGTGATTTTAATTGGATTGAATTTTAATGGATTTAGATGTCCATGGCCATGTGTGGCTGGGCAGGATGTTAAACACACAAGCTTTGGAGCCAGGCCTTCAGGGTTCACGGGCTGGCTGACACACTAGCTCTGGACCTCAGGCCACTTACTCAGCCATGAATTTCTAATAAGTACAAGGAAGGGAAATAATGCCAGTACTTGGGGGGTTTTAGGAGCCTACCCAAAGAGGCTATACACCAATGCCCTGCAGTGAGGAGTGCACAACTCAGGTGACAGCAGGGGTGGGCACTGCTGGGAGGTTGACCCCTCCCTCTCCACCCCTGCTTCCCCCAGAACCACATCCTGATGCTGATGTCCATGGCCGCCCGCATCTACAAGCACCCCAGCATTGGTAACTCCATCAACCTGGTGATGATAAAGTTGGTGATCATGGGGGATGAGAAGCTGGGCCCCGAGGTGTCAGACAACAGCGGGCTGATACTGCGCGACTTCTGCACCTGGCAGCGGGACGCCAACCAGCCCAGAGACCGGCACCCCGAGCACTTCGACACGGCCGTCCTGCTCACCAGAGAGGTTGAAGGCCGCCAGACACTGTGGGGAAAGGGGCGGGCCCAGTGCTGGTCAAAGGGGGGTGTGGCTCAAATGTGGAGCCAGCCCAAATGTGGCGACTGGCTCCCTGCTGGCCCTAGCTGGACAGAGAGCCTTGAATTGGATGGGGGGGGGGGGCAGGGGTGGGGGGGAGGAGGTCAGGAGGACAAGTATGAGGTATTTCAAGGGAAGCATAAGAATGCATAAGGGCTCTTGTCCAGGAGTTTGCGACCAACTGTCTGCTGAGGTCATGACAAGATGAAAAGGGCTCAAACTGCCTGAGAGACATGTGGAGTTGGAACAAAGTTCAGAGGTGCAGCTGCAGGTGCAGGGTTAAACCTGGGGGCAGGTAACCAGGGCCTTCCCATAATGTCTCCAAATCAGGAGGCCTTTCCACCTTCCTAGTGAGGTTTAAGTAGGTGGTTTCCTACAGCCTAGCCAGAGTCATCATGGGTGGAGGCCCTGTTCCCCGCCCCACAGGCCTCAAGACAGCCCTGAGGCCAATGCTGCATGTTTAGCCCCACTTCACAGCTGGGGAATCCGAGGTCCAGGGGTCAGAGCCCACCAGTCTCCCTATGGGGGCGCCATAGCCTCACCACTCATCAGGCTATCCTCCCTCCCAGGACAGACTTCCCAGGCCCACAGCCTGATGTCTTGCTGATCCAGGTGACAAATGTCCTTTGTGAAGAAATAGAGATTTGGCTGAAAACATGTCCCTCATCTCAGGAGGTGCAGGAACATGCAGTTCCCGTCCTCTTTCTGTCCTCACCCCTCACTTTCTCCTGAGCAGAACCTTTGCGGGCAGGAGGGCAGGTGCGACACCCTGGGAGTGGCCAACGTTGGCACCATCTGTGAACCCAGCAAGAGCTGCTCCGTGATCCAGGACCAAGGCCTGCAGGCGGCCTACACTCTAGCCCACGAGCTCGGTGAGACCCCCACCTCCAGAGGCCACGACTGCTGGGCGGGGGGACCCGCCTTCCAGAGGCCAGTGGTGCAGCCCCAGGACTGTGCCATGCCTCCTGGTTGTCACAGAGTAACTGCCCTCATGCTCTCTGTCCCGACCCTGCGTGAAGGGCCAGCCTCAGGGGGCACAGTGCTCAGATAGAGCCGTGAGGGGGTGTCCTGGCTAGGCAGTCAGGATTCAGAAGGTCAATTGCAATGACAGTGTGAGAAAGTGAGCAAACGATTAAGGGGAATGTGAATCGGCAAAGGCCCCGGCAGAAAAGAGAGGGACCCCAATGCTTCCGGTTCCCCTGGGAGAATGAGCTGAGAACTGTCCTTGAGGAAGAAGCAGGTGGGGTTCCTGGATGAGCTGGCACTGCTTAGGTCTTCAGAGCACTGTACCCCATGGATGGACAGCTGACAGCAGTAGAGGCGGCAGGTGGACTAGGGGTCTCGTCCTCCCCAGGGCACGTCCTCGGCATGCCCCACGACGACTCCAAGCTTTGTACTCGGCTGTTCGGGCCCCTGGACAAGCACCACATGATGGCGCCGCTATACGTCCAGCTGAACAAAACACGGCCCTGGTCCCCCTGCAGTGCCTCGTTCCTCAGAGAGTTCCTGGACCGTGGGTACGGTAGGTCCCCCGCTTCTCCCTGGCCAGCGGTGGGCACCCGCACTCCTGGACCGTGGGTACAGTAGGTCCCTGCTTCTCCCTGGCCAGCAACAGGCACCCCCATTCCTGGACCGTGGGTATGGTAGGTCCCCTGCTTCTCCCTGGCCAGCATCAGGCACCCGCATTCCTGGACTGTGGGTACGGTAGGTCCCCGCTTCTCCCTGGCCAGCGGTGGGCACCTGAATTGCTGGCATCTCGGGATGGGAGACACTGAGCAGCTGTGTCCTCACTGCCCTCCAGGGCTGAGTGCTCTAACCACTCCTCTAGCCTGCTGTTCCTCAGCCCAGCTTCTAGCACCAATGAGATTATCTGCAGAGCAGATAGAAGTGGTCTGAGAAGGTCTGTTGGAGAAGGTGGGTTCCCACAGACCTTGAGGGAATGGAAGACTGTCATACAGAGCAGAGAATGGAGCCTCCGGCTGGAGCTATACATCACAGGGTAGTGTGAAAACAGCAGAGAGGCAGGAATGCCCCCTGAGAGCAAGGAGTGGGGCAAGGTGCCTGGTGCAGGCAGCCTGGCTTGTGGAGTAAAGAAGTGAAGACACAATTGATTCTTGATGCAAAAATAATAGATTGTTCAAACATCAGTACTTTGGCTTTAATTATCTGGGCCTGGATTTAAGAGTCCATTTTCATCCTCAATTATACTGTGATTTAGATTAGTGTTACAATTAGCTGGCCTTCCCTAGGTAACCACTGAATACAAATAAGACGTTCTGGATGACAAAGAATTCAATCCTTTAAATAAACATGCTACTGATAGTCAAAACTTGGGAGGAATTTCTCTAGATGATGGAGTGTTGACAGTTTGTGGACTGAGGTCAAGGAGACCTTGAGTGTCATGTGGGAGGAGGGAACCCCTGGCCCTTATTCCTATTTCTCTGCTTCCTCCATTCCTCAGGGGACTGCCTTCTGGATGCCCCTTCCTGGGCCATGGCCCTGCCCACAGACCTCCCTGGCCGCAGGGCCCTCTATGACCTGGACCAACAGTGCAAGCAGATCTTTGGGCTGGGCTTCCGCCACTGCCCCAACTCCTCTGAGCAGGACACCTGCGCGCAGCTCTGGTGCCGCATTGATGGCCCCGACCCCCTTTGCCACACGAGGAATGCCAGCCTGCCTTGGGCCAACGGGACACCCTGCGGGCCCGGGCACCTCTGCTGGGAGGGCAGCTGCCTGCCTGAGGAGGAAGTGGAAAAGCCCGAGGTGAGGGATGACCACTGGGTGTCAGGGAGAGGGGAAGGGGGAGGGCTGTTTCCATGGAGGAAGCCACACTTGAGAGCTAGGAACCAGGAGACTTGGGGCCAGATGCAACTATGAGTAGAACCACACATCCTTTGACACACAAAGCAAAGCGTATTTATTCAAACACAGGAGGAGCCCTTCAAGGGTGTACTCAGAGCAAATGGACGATGCTATCAGGGCTTGGGCGTTTGGGGAGCTTGCCTCTGGAACAGCAGTGGACTTTGACTTGGAGGATTGGTGCTAGGTATGGACACTTCTGCACAAGACTGTCGTGGGCACTCAATAAACAGAAACCATTATGAATTCTATTGTAAATAGAGTGAGTGACAGCAGAGAGGGACATCCCATCAAGAAGGAGGGGAAAGTATTCATGCCCTACCCATGTCTGAGGTGAATTCATAGCTAGGGGTCAGGACAGTGGGAGGAAGTGTGGGGACCCCTTGTTCCAGGAGGAGGGAAGAAGGAAGGGGAATCACCTCTGAGCCTCAGAGAAAACTTGGCAGAGTGAACCTGCAGGAAAGGCAAGGCAATGTCGAGAGGGGTTTTAATTGACAGGCTCCTTTGCCCTGCTCTTAGTACTTCCAGACTGTGAGACTAGTCACCTTTCTCTAACTGGAGTCACTGAGCCATCTCTGAAATAATGTCCGATGGGTCCCAGCCTGGGTCTGGCCCAGCTCTGAATCAACAGGTTGGCCTGCGCTCTCACCCTCCAGAAGGCTGTCCTCAGGGCACATCCTGTGCACTGAGGCCCAGGGGCCTGTGTGGCCAGGTAATCCACATGTTCCGTCTAAGCTTGGGCCAGGATGGGCATCATGGATTCATTCTAAGCCCCCTCCTAGCCCCTGCCCAACACGTGGCTTTTCCCAACCCCGTCCTGTAGTGTGGGCTTCACACAGTCCTGAGGGGAGAGATGGGAAGGGGGTCCCCTCCCACCTTCCCCAGCAGTGCAGCCAAGCTCCACACAGGAAAAGTTAGCCAGAAAGTGATCCAAGGCTAGTGCTTCTAATGTATTTTTAAGGGGAAAAGACAGATAGGAAATACTGCATATATTGACAGAATCATGTCTCTGTAAAATAAAAACACAGCACCTTCATGACAATAGTCAGAGCAAAGGTACAAAGGGATATTGATGAAAATCATGTCAGTGGCTTCATCTAGGTAGTGGTATATTTTTAAGCGTCACTTTCTCTCACATCTTTCCTATTTTTCATTTTTTATAGGATCACGTATGACTCTTGTAACCTTTAAAAAATTATTTTCATTTTGAAAACTCTGTGTACCCATCCATCACAACTGCCTGACCTCAGGGTCAGTTGTAAAGCTGGATGTGACTCTGTCTGTTCCCAGCATGTCCCACTCACTCCTGGACCTGGCGGCTAGTAGAGTAGCGGCCTCACCTCCCTGAGAGCCTTCCTTCAGGTCAGCGCTGCCCAGCCTCAGCGCTGGTGGTGTCCGGGCTGTGTGCACCCTGGCTGTATAGGCTGAGCAGCTCCCTGTCCCCCACTCGCTGGAGGCCAACAGCGTGCACCCGGCCCAGCTGTGGCGACCAGTGTCTCCAAACACTGAGGGAGTCTCAGCCCCCATGGGAAACCACTGTATTTTCCTCAGCCTTATTCCCATAAAAGTGTTTCATTCAGCAGCTCCTACTGAGCACCTAACAAAGGGCGAGGCACTGTTCTAGACCCCTGGGTGCTTGGGGGGCAGCCGAGGGCCAGGCCAGCACAGACTGTGGTCACTGGGAAAACGAATCGGGCAGTTACCGAACTCCACCCACCAGTATAAGCACAGCTAAGAGAGAAGGTCCCACCGAGAGCCTAGGCCCTCTCCCCTCCCCCCACTCAGTGCGGCCTTGTGTGTTGCAGGCTGTGGTGGATGGAGGCTGGGCCCCGTGGGGACCCTGGGGTGCATGTTCACGGACCTGCGGAGGAGGAGTACAGTTTTCATACCGCGAGTGCACCAACCCCGAGCCTCAGAACGGAGGGAAGTACTGCCTGGGTCAGAGAGCCAAGTACCAGTCATGCCACACCGAGGAGTGCCCCCCGGACGGTAATGGCCAGAGCGGCTGCTGCGGCGCCTGCAGCACATCCCTGGAGGAGGGCGGTCTTCCAGGTTCAGGGCTTTCCAGGGTGCAGACAGAAACAGGCTCTTGAGGTACCACACTTCGGGGCAGCCTGCAGCGCCCCTCACTGTGCAGGGAGAGCCTGGCAAACTCAGAGAGAAACAGCCCTGGTTTTTGGAGACATGGACATGGAGGACCTAACTCCCAACCAGCTTATGCACTGGGGCCGGGGGAGGGCTCTGCAGAAGGTGAGAGTCGACAGTAATACTCCTCCTGGAGGAGTCTAAACCCTGGTCTGTGTGCAGAACAATGGAGGCATTGTCCAAAGCAATTGTTGGAGCCACCTCCAGGGTCATTCCAACCGATGTTCAGCCCAGGGCAGAGGGAAGGTTTCTGAATCTGATCCTAGCACACACTTCTCCTGAGAAGGTTGCCCATCTCCCCTTGGGGCCATGGCATCTGCCTGTGGGAACCTTCCTGGGAAGTGGCCTCATGTCTGCCTCCCAGGCACATCCCCCAGTGCCCACAAGAAAGCACATGCCTTAACTCCTTAACTCAGAGCAGTGACAGCTGCAGAGACATCAGAGGGAGTCCCGGCAGATCTTTGCCCCACCACCCTGTCCAGCTCCCCGCCGCAGTTCCAGGGAGTGTGGCAGGCAGCAGATGGCACACACTTTTAGGGAGGTTAGAGAAGTTCCTCCAAGCACAGAGGCCCAGCCCAGGGAGGGCAAATAGCGAGGGAGTCTGGAGGCTTTGTAGTTTTGCAAGACGAGGAGGAGGCTCTAGAGCCTCTGCCTGGAATTGTGGGCGTCCTCCTGGCACACTAGTGAAGGGTCCCTGGGGAAACGAGAGAGAGGAGAGGAGAGGGGAATGAATAGAGGCACGAAGGAGACACGGACAGGAGCGGAGACCAGGATTTCAGGTGCACTGGTACCAGCCATCTCCGTCAGTGGGTGTCTAGTGCCTCTTGTGAGCCTCAGCTGTCCTGACGCCCTCTCAGGAGGGGGCCTGGCCACCTGGGGTTTGAAGCTCCACAGACCATAAAGGTGTCCAGCTGGGTGGGGAACCTCAGCAGTAAGAGCAGTGCTAACTTCAGGCCCGCGAGAAGGAAACACCCAGGTCTTCCTGTCTTAGAAGCAGCAGGATGGGTGGGAGACTGGGCACCAAGTCTCACAGGAAACCCCCGGCCTTGGCTTGTGAGCAGTGGACTGAGTTGCGGAGTGTGGGAAGGAGCATGCAAAACCTCAGCTCATCCTGAACAGAGAACAGGACTTAGTGACATGCTGGAAATAGCAGATGTAGGTGCTCAAATGTTGAGAAGATACCAGGGTTCCAGTCTCAGGCAGGAAGGTGGTAACATCACCCAATGAAGAGTCAATCAGGTGATGGAGGAACCACACGGAGTCAGGCCTCACTGAGCTGGAGGTAATCGCAGTGTCTCCAGGTGGACTCCCCCAAGGACACCCAGAATTACAGCAAGTAGAGTGCAGAGGCAAGATCAGAATTAGGGGCAGAGGGGGCCTTTGTCCAAACATCCAATGTCAAGAGTCATGATCAGCAGAGGGTCCAAAATATACCTCCATGTGTCATTCTCTGCTTCCCAGGCCTACTGAGCTATCTCTATCCTCACCTAGGTTTGGTGTTGGTGGTGGTTTAGTCGCTAAGTTGTGTCCAACTCCTGCAACCCCATGGACTGTAGCCCACCAGGCTCCTCTGTCCATGGGATTTTCCAGGCAAGAATACTGGAGTGGGTTGCCATTTCCTTCTCCAAGGGGTCTTCTCAATCCAGGAATCGAGCCCAGGTCTCCTACACTGCAGGCGGATTCTTTATACCAACTGAGCCACAAGAGAAATCTAATCTGTAAAGCAGAATTAAGACCCTCCCCAATAGAAATGCTGTCTTTTCCAGAAAACTCCCCCAGGGCTGGCTGCTCCTTTCCTGCCTCATGAGTCAGCGCTGAGGTCAGTGCTGAGGAAGGGCGGGCTGAGGTGACAGGCGTCCTGGGGTCAGGTCAAGTCCAGGAGGAAGAAGGTTGCCCAGAATCTGGGCATCTCCCCCTCGGGGTCCTCCCTGCTTCAGTTCAGCATGGTGACTCCGTGACCTCTCATCCTTGTTTTAGGGAAAAGCTTCAGGGAGCAGCAGTGTGAGAAGTTCAATGCCTACAATTACACAGACGTGGAGGGAAACCTACTGCAGTGGGTCCCCAAGTATGCGGGGGTGTCCCCCCGGGACCGCTGCAAACTGTTCTGCCTAGCCAGGGGGCGGAGCGAGTTCAGAATATTTGAGGACAAGGTGAGGAACCTTCTGGAACTCAGATGCACGAGTGGGGAGGAAGGCCTCCTGGCCCAGACCACGTGCGGGCTGCATCTCTGCTCAGGTCCCTTCAGACCCCGCTTCCTTTCTGCAGGTGATCGACGGCACCCTGTGCGGACCCGATACTCTGGCCATCTGTGTCCGTGGCCAGTGTGTCAAGGCTGGCTGTGATCACGTGCTGGACTCACCTAAGAAGCTGGACAAGTGTGGGGTGTGTGGGGGCAAAGGCGACTCATGCAGGAAGGTGTCTGGCTCCTTCAGTCCCTCCAGGTGGGTCTCCCAGGAGTCCTGTCCCTAGCTGCGGGACTGGACCGGGCTTTAGAGATAGACAGTGGCAGCCCCTGCATACCCTGGAGCGCTAGCTGCAGTGTCTGCATGAATTTGGTGTCCTCTCTGTCTCAGAGTGGTTGTAAGGGGTCAGGAGGTGGGAGAGCACGTGGCACAGTCTGATCGGCAGAGGGACCGCTGCAGGCCACGTGCACAGGGCTGCATCATCTCTTAGTCAGTCAGCAGCAGATCTGCGCTGAGTAACCGGGACCCCTGCCAGAAGCAGCTGCTCCAGGCCTGCTGTGGGAAGGACGTTTCACCTGTACCCGGCAGGCCCTGCCCTTTCTGCAGGTGGATCTTCAGAAAGCGGGCTCTTGGGGGACCTCAGCAGTCTTGGAGCTTCCTGAATCTGAGAGCCCCAGATCCTTTCTCACACCTTAAATCCATAAGTTCATGTGAAGTGAAGTGAAAGTTGCTCAGTCTGGTCTGACTCTTTGCGACCCCATGGAGTATACAGTCCATGGAATTCTCTTGGCCAGAATACTGGAGTGGGTAGCCTTTCCCTTCTCCAGGGGATCTTCACAACCCAGGGACTGAACCCAGATCTCCCGCATTGCAGGAAGATTCTTTACCAACTGAGCCACAAGGGAAGCCCTCCTATATTCAAGTGCTTTCACTTCTGATTGATTCCTAAAATGAGTCTGTCAGGGCCAGGATGGTCATTCCCTGTTTATAAGAGGAAACTGAGGCACGAAGAGATAACATGATCATCTGAGGTCACCATGGTAGGTAACGACGTCCAAGGAGAACCCAGTTTTCTCCTTTCCTAGGGGTTTTTTCCTGCCCTGCACACACTTCCTAGAGAAGAAGGGCAAGGGTCCATGGCCACACTGCACCCCTACCCAACTCCTTCATGCTACCTCATCTCATCAGAATCAAAGAACAGAATCTGCTTTCAAATACAACTCGCGAGTCTGTTCAAATTTAAACTCAATGATATAGAAAAGAGAACCATGGGGTGTGGGGCGGTCAAAGGGGGGAGTCCCCACAGTGCTCACTCAGGCCTTAGAGCAGGGGCCAGCGTCCTCTCAAGCTTCCCAGTGGGCACGAGGCAAGAACAGCAAATACAGCGTGACCGCCCTCCTCAGTCCTCTTCACCTCCCTCCTAGCCTGTGAGACCAAACACTTTCTACCCGCAAAGAGAAGAATAAGAATTCAGGGTTCTCCATCCCACAGAAAGCCCAAGGCCCGCAGTAAAGGGGAGACATTTGCCCCAGAGCACCTTGTCCCCCCAGATGGCCCAGCTCCTGGCGCTGGCACGCCCAGAAGAAGGCCCCTGGGCACAGAGTGTCACCCTGCTCCCTGCCCTCAGCCACACAGCCACACCTCCAGGAACAGACGGACTCTGGGAGGGGAGTGAGGCATCCATCTGGTCGGATCCTGGAACGGGCACGGGGAGCAGAGTCTTCCACGCGGACTTGAGCATCAGCAGCCCAGCTTTCACTTCCCTTTGGGCTGCCTTCCCTTCTGTGCTATCGTCAAGATCTCATCTCCAAACATTTACAATAGAGCTGCCAGGCAAAGCAAAAATCCCAATGTACAGAGCATTCTTACTGGCCTCACCAGCTAATTTACTGGCAACTTTATGCAACTATTTCCTGGTTTGATAGTGCAAATTTTTGTCTGCCCACCTCCAATCCCTCCACTCTGACCTCCTGAGTGCCTGGCTGGGGAGCCACAGGTCCTAAGGGTATCTTTCTGTTCCTGTCACAGTTATGGCTACAATGACATCGTCACCTTCCCGGCTGGCTCCACAAACATCGATGTGAAGCAGCGGAGTCCGCCGGGAGTTCAGAACGACGGCAACTACCTGGCCTTGAAGACCACAGATGGGGAGTACCTGCTCAATGGAAACAACGCCATCTTTCCCACAGAACAGTACATCCTGCTGAACGGGACTGTCCTCAGGTACAGCGGTGCCTTCACCTCCCTGGAGCGGCTGCAGAGCTTCCAGTCCCTGCCCGAGCCACTGACCTTACAGCTCCTGAAGGTCCATGGGGATCCCCTCAAGGTCAAATATACCTTCTTTGTCCCTGACGATGTGAACTCCAGCAAGCAGAGCAGCAGAGAGAGGACAACCACCAATGTCATTCAGGCCCTGCTCAACACGCGGTGGGTGCTGGGGGACTGGTCTGAATGCTCTCACAGCTGTGGGGCCGGCTGGCAGCGGCGGACAGTGCAGTGCCGTGACCCCAGCGGCCAGACCTCGGCCGCCTGTGACGAGGCTCTGAAGCCTGAGGATACCAAGCTCTGCAGAAGACTGCCTTGCTTCTCGTGATCCAGAGTAGGTGACTTCTGCTCATGGACTCGGGGTGTGGGGTGTAAACAAGGTCACACTATGGTGACCCCACATCTGGAGGTGGTATTGCCAGCCTACCCAGGCCTTACACCACCATAGCCCTCCATCTGGGCGTGAATCTACAAGGGGAGGAGAGGAGAGTGGAGACAGACCACAGATGCTGTGGGGTGGACCCTCCTTGGTCCAAGTAGAGGGCATAAGGTAAAAGGGACACAAACAGAAGACTCGTTCAGCCTGTTTGAAAGGGGGAAGCAAAGTTAAATGAAAAAACTGTTTTCTACTTGGTTCCCTTGATAAATAATCTACCTCAGTGAGGAAAATATTAGTCACAGAGAGACGGGGAGTTGGGGTGATGGTGAGCATCACGGCAAGCCCCGTATTTGCGCCCTGAGGTGTCTTCAGAGATGACCGGGACTATCTTCAGTATTAAACCCATCGGCTGGAGGGCTGCAAGCCCAGAACTGTGAAGAGCCCCGTGTTCTCAGGCTCCCACCTGCAGGGGTGGATCCACTTCAAGTATTTATGCAAATGTGTCTCTGAACTAAAGTGTGCTCTTGTGCCAATGCAGTGGTCTGATCTGGCTCTGTACTCCTCTGGAAGGGCAGGGGACCCTGGGCCCCAGGACAGAGGCTGAAACTAGGTTAGCTCACCTTGAGCACACCCGTGGAAGCTGGCACCTTGCCTGCATCTCTGAGACCTCCCTCTGAGTGTTCTTGCCTGCCGAGTCCAGCCAGTTGAGGCAAGGCTGTATCTACATACTCCAGACTGGAGGTTCCCCAACTTCAGCGGACATTAGGGTCATTAAAGGCCTGCTTGAAACACAGATGGCAGGGCCCAACCCCAAGGGTTTCTGAGTCAGTGGGTCAGGGACTGCAAATTTGCTTTTCTAACAAGTTCCCAGATGACGTGGAGGCTGCTAGTTTGGGGACCCTGCTTTGAGAAGCCCTGCTCTAGTGGAAACTTCCAACTCCGGGGTAACAAAGGTTTGGCAATGCCCTCAGGTTGCTTATTCTTGGGAAATCCTCTCCCATTCCACTCTGCGTGCGTCCTCATCCTCATATTTACATACCAACCAGCTGGAGAAACAAGATTCTCTTAGCATCTGAGGAATGCCGCACCTGTTTCTAAGGACCGTCATCCCAGTGACCTCAGCTCCTTCTCTCCACATCGAGTTCAGCCCCAACCCACAACTCTTTTGACTACACAAACGGCAGCTGTCCCCATCAGCACTGTTAAACAGAATGACCTCCCCACCAGCACCTGAAACCTGCCCGAGAACCCCCTGATCCCACCTTATTCCAGGTCCCCTCATCTCTGCCTGGCTCTGAGCAAGCCCCCAGCTCATCTTCCATGTGGTCTGGTGTACAAGGAGCTTAGTCCCTGGGCATAGTGGATGGAAAGGAACAGACGACACCAAGAGGCGACACTCTAATGAAGATGGGAGAACTCTGAATGAGGATCTTCCCTTTTCTGTCCCCTTTGGCCCCCTGGTCCTTCCCTTTAGCATTCTCCTAAGACCCCTTCTAATGAAAAGTGGGCTCAGCAGAGAGGATGCTGCACAGAGCCTGTGTGAGAGGAAAGGTGCCCCTGGGAGGACTTGGTTGTGGGAGGCAGGCAAATGGGATTTCAGCCCCAACCCAGCCTTCTGAGGGTTGTCTTGATGTGTTGCAAACTCCACGTGGTGGCCATGGACACCACTGACCACTTTTCCCTGACTGCCATGTCCTTGGTGAGCAGGAGGCCAGGCTTGCCTCAGCATAAACAAGCACACACAGGCATGTTGATGATGACCAGAAGTGCCATATTTGTCCTTGTTGCGCACCAGCTTTGTTGAGATAAGACTGTGTATTTCTGCAATTCTTTGTCTCTTTCCATTCTCTTTCTCCCCCAAATAATCAAGGCCAAGTGTGTCCACAGTAACTGCCCACGCATGCCCAGCTGTGCCTTCCCTACAGGCTGCATCATTACCGGGCACAGAGTCTGCCTGGCACTCAGCTGGCAGAAGAGCTGCTGGTGCGCAGAGCAGAATAATATCCCGCTTGGCTCCTCCCTGCTGTGTGGGCTCAGCAAGGCTCACAGAAGACAGGCTTGTTTGTGTCTGGAAACTCAGCAGCTGCAGCTCAGGGACTCTGAAAACAAATCTGCAGGGAGAGATAGGCTGTTGCTCCCCCAGCCCACCACGACCACCCTTCTTGCCCATAGGAGGGAAGACTGACTTTCCTCCTGACAGCTTGCACCCTCAGCAGGGATTCTTCACCGAAGTGGCACCAGTGCCTCCCCTGAAACTCCCTGAGGCCCTGACTTGGCAGGTAACATGGTCATTCCTGTGGGCCCTCTGAGATCCTGGCAGAAATATTCCAAAGGTGGTCCTTTAGCCTCAAAGTTTATTCCCGACCTTCCATCCTTGAGATAAGTGAGTCCTTGTTGGGGTTATTCTCTCCCCTTCATTCCCCTGTAGCTGACCAGAGGGTTTGTGAATTCATAGAAGTATGCTATGTCACTGTCCCTGACCAGCTTTGGTAAAGCACTGCTCTCTCCCAGGGTGAGGGGCTCATCTTCCCGCTGCACATGGTGCTCTCTGAAGACGTCCATCAGGCGTTATGTCCTGCGTTTGGGGGCTTTTTAACCAAGTGTGCCCTTTTACTGAAGACCTCCCCCTTAGCATCCAAACATCCGTTCTTCTTGCTTTCCTCTGGGGCCCTCTTCATTTTTACCATGCCTTCCCTCCACCAAAAAGAAAAAAATGACAGGAACAATAGGAAAGTCCTTCAGAGTATAGTGTCTTATGCTCTGTCGTGTGATCTCTATGTGGTCCAAGAAAACTGAGTGTCTTTGTCACAGTTGTGTTCTCAGATCTGCAAAGTAAGCTGGTGACTCTGCATACGTCCCAAGAACCCCATGTCCGAGTCTCCCCTGGTCTCAAGGAAAGGGGGTCCAGAGCCCCAGCGATATCTGCTGTGTGGGCTCTGCCTCAGATCCCCAAACCCCTCAGGAAGCAGCCACCTCCCCTTGACTATTCGGGAATTAGGACCGGTTTGATTACAAGAGTGAATACAATGTGGAATTTACCAAAGAGAATCAGGTCCAGTGCTATCCTTGGAATTCGAGATTTCTCCTGACACAGCTGCATCACTGCCTTTTGCCTCTTGGGTGAGTTGAAGCTAAATTATTTAATACTCGGTCAAAGTTAAAGACAAGACACGGTGAGCATGATGAAGGCTGTGAGGACAGAGTTCTAGGCAAGAATGCATCCACACCCGGACACCTGTCCTCCTCCACCCTCTCCCAGTGCAGAGTGGAGAGACCTGTATCCACAGCAGTATCTTCCACCCCTAACTCCACCAGGGGACTGGATCCTCAGCCACCCCAAGGCCCTGAGCAGGCTGCCCGTGTGTCCCTGGGAGGAAGGAGGGGAGGGCACAGGCAGTACCACCCTGCCCTGTAGAAATGCAAACCAGGGTTGGCTGACCTGTGGGGGCTGTGACTGCAGGACAGCATGTCTCTCTGAGAAAGGTCTCTACTAGCACGGCACATTTCCCCACCCCATCCAGGTCCTCTGGCTGAGCCCGTAGCCTCAAGAAAACTGCCCATGGAATGTGAGAAGGAACGAGGGCACAAACCTAAGTTGATGTTTTTGCTGGTTCAATCTCATTGATCCGTGGAGACATACTGTGGTCAGATCAACCTCACATAAGAAACAGTTCCAAACAAATCAACATAAAGCGCAAGGGGAATGAGAGGTGGACAGCGCTGAGCAAGCAGGGCGGTTGGACTGTGCCCCTGCCTGGAGGGCACCTCATGAGCCCCTCTCAGGCACCTGTCTGCTTTCAAGGTCAGCACTTCCCCACAGCCAGGCCAGGCTTATAAAACAGGTGCACCCTGTGACAGCTTAGCGCCTGCTTCTTCGGAGGGAGACCTCTCTGATATCCCACTGGGAAGGTAGTGGGCCTTCCCGGCTGAAAACTGAGTGTCAACCAACCCACAACCCAAAACTAAACCCTGCTCAAGTACTGGGAAGAAAAGATGAGACCCAATGCCCAGTGGATCCTGAGCTGAGATGCTAGAGCTGGGAGAAAAGCCCTCAAATGCACCTGTCTCTTTAGGACGTATGTTTCCTCAGGCCTGGGGCTCAGCAACAAAAGACAGGAAAGTTCTGGCTGGCTTTCCATCTCCACTGGCTGCCCAGCCCATCCCTGGCAGACGCACAGATGCCCCCAGGAAAGGAGAGGGAAGAGGAGACTTCCCCAGCCCTCACTGTTCCTCATTCCAAACATTCTGTGAGTCCCAGCACATTGGAAGAGTGTGTCCTCAGCCAAGCACAGCTTCCTGTTTCTAAGAAAGGGAAGAAAAAATAGTTGAAAGGGTTTTTGGACCATGGAGAGCTTAAGTTTCTAGTAACACAAATGAATCAGACACAGGTGAAAAAATTTTCTCCAGAAGTAAAGAAAGATGCTATGAGTTCCTCTTATTGGACCAGAAAGTGGGGAAAGGATAGCTGAGAAGGGACATGGATCCAAGGCTGAAAGGAAGGAGAAATGAATGAATGGTAGATCAAAGAGAGGGTCTGGTGACGACAAAGGTCAGCATGGACCTCCCAAGGCCACATCCTGAACTTGTTTATAACTCAACTTCACCTCTAAAGTCATATATTTATTTATTTAAGTCATAAATTTAAATATCGTGTCCACCAACCACAACTTCCAATCCTTCTAGACCTTTCATGCTCCCTCAATACTTATTCTAGGGACCCCAGATCCTTGACCACCCCCCATACCCACCTCCCCATCTTTATTTCTCCTCCATCTCTACTTCTTTCCCTGTGCACATGGAGTCCATGTTCCAGCACTGCAAGCTCCATCTTGCCAACATTCCCATCTTCCATGCCCCACTGACTGACTGGGACTCCACAGCAGAGCCCACAGAGACCACTGCACCCTCTGCCCCAGGCTTACCATCATGGTGTTGACTCTGACAACCAGGGTCCATGCCACTGAACTCAAGGGGCCACCATGAAGTTAGCATGTCCAGTGGAAGCTCTGACCAGCCACCCAACCAGGCCTCCCTCATTAGTTCTATCGCTGATCCTATACAAAAATACCTTCCACTTTCTTTACTCTTCTGATGAGTTCATGATCCCACCATGAGTGGAAGACCTCACCTCTCCCAACTCAGCAGAACTCAACCCTACATCACCCATGATTTGAGGAGAAAGGAGACAGTCTCACTGTTGACCAGGCTACAGACCCAAAGCTAGAGGAACACCCTGATTTTATCTTATTTTAGAACCAAGAAGCATATTCCAGTAACTCTCAAGTCCATAGTAGAGGGGGTACTTGGGACCTTATTAAATTAATCTCCCAGGTCCTCCAGGCATAGCACATAGGCTTCCAGGACTCCCCACCCTGTCATCCTTGCCTGCCCCTCTCTCTTCTACCACCCACCCAGAGTCCTGCCTTTCCTTGTGCTTGCTCCCTGACATGATTTATCAGTTAGTTCACACTGTCTGCTGTCACTGCTGCATGGACCTAGATCTTCAGATCTCAGGGTAGATAAGGGGAAGCTAGACAAGCCCTCATGGGGACACAATCAAGGACAACAATGACAGCAGCCTCCCCACGCTTGCCCATCTCTGGGGCACTGTGATGCTGGAAGAATGTGTCCTTCTGCTCCATCTGGAGTTATGTTACCAAAGATCTGTCTATTTTTCTAGTCCCCAGATGTGCTAGATCTCAGAAAAGGGATGGGATTTAAAAAAAAAAAAAAAAAAAAAACCCTGCCCACAAGAGAATGAAAGTCATCATACAAGAAAGCACAGTATCTTGCCACCAGTCTTAAGGTCTGACCCATAGCTCTACATAGTCTTTTAGAACCATCCTCTTTTCCTGTTTCTGTTACACACTATTTTCTCCAGGTAGAATCGGTTCCTTGCAGACACCACAGCCCTCTCCATTCTCAGGTCCTCAGCCCACATCTATTCTTCCCGAAACGACCTTGCTCCCTTTTTCTACTCCCCCAACTTCAACAATGCCCTACTTATTCATCAATTCCCAGATTCAAGGTCACTTAGTCAAAGAAGCCCTCAGGTTAGGTGCAACACACCACAGCCTCATGTTCTTTGTTTTTCAGACACTAAGCTGGACCACAGACCCTGTGAGGCCAGGACCACACCCTGGGTTCACTGCATTACTGGCGTCTGCTGCCTGTCGTGCAGCAGGCACTTGATAAATAAAACAAATGATCGAGTCATTTCCATCTCACAATGTGTTTACAGCTCCCCACATCCCTCTGTTCCTTCCACTCTCCTAATCCGCTACCAAGTCACTCTCCCCACAGCCCCCCACAGGACTGCTCGCGAGGCTGATGATGACCTCGCTCAGTCCCGCAGACGCTCCTCTCTCCCGCCGCCTGAGCCCTCACCTCCCTGTGGTCCCTGTCCCCCAGTCACTGCTAACTTGTGGAGACCCTCAGGGCCCTGCTCACGCTTCCTGGGGCCTCTCACACACTCCCATGCTCATGGTTTTTTCCAACATGCAGATCATTCCCAAATTCAAATCCCGAGACTGTGTCAGGGGTCCCCAAGGTCACCTCATCATCAGAGATTCACTAGAATGCACAACACTCAGTGCAAGTTGTGTTTACAGCTGAGATTTATTACAGAGACACAGGGAGGATAGTGGCCAAATCGTAAGGACAGAGATACAGGTGGGTCCAGAGGAGTCACCGTAAGGCTTCCCTGTGCTCACTCCCCCCCACTATCAGGGGTCACACAGAGCTCACTCTTCCCCAAATACATGCCTGTGAGGTGTCAGCCCAGGGGAGCCCAGCAGGGACTCAGAGCTCAGGGCTGTCCCTGGGGGCTGCTCACAAAGGTGCCCTCTGCCTCACACACCAACATTCCAGACTCTTAGAAGGAGAACAGGTGTTCAGCATAAACCACATGGTCTGCACAAACAGTCCAGGCACCAACAAACCAGCCTTATCATTTAACTGGTGATGGGGACACTTTGAGAGCCAAGTTCCCAGATGCCAGCCAAGGGCCAGCCTTGTGACAGGCCTCTCTAGGGACAGCGGCCTGGGCCTGATGTGTCCCTTCCTTTCTGCACAGGCTGGACCGGTCTCCTGAACCATGAGTCCGTATGTTTACAGCTTCCCACCAGACTCAGTGCCTCAAACTCACCCTCTCCCAGCTGCTGTGCCTGTTACCTGTCTTCTGTT